AATATATATATATATATAACTATAGATACGCAAGCTCGATCGGCACAGAAATGATAGTACATGGAGGTTGAGCGCAGTGGAATAACTTCAAGGTTTTAACTACGAACATAATAGCAAGCACAAGGAGAAAAAATACGATGAAAAACAACAGTAAAATGTTTATTCTTCCCTTACTCCAGATGCCTTGGAGTGCTTGAACTCGCACGCGCCTTCCATCAGTTCCTTGGCGAATTTGAGGGCCTGATAAACTGCATCGGAGTTGCGTTCAGACGGCATTAGAGGGTGCTTTAGTTTGCCCACACGATATTTGTTGTGAGCCAAGATGCAGTCTGCAAAACAGAGCAATAAAAGTGACTCAAAATAAGGCAAGATAGAGGAAAAGCAACGGCGAGTCCACGCGTGCCCATGCATAGGTCGGTGAGGCTCTTGACAACTCCGTCAAAATGCCTCTGCGGAGATGCAGAAGGAAGAAGGAATAGAAAATAAAGCAAGTGGATTATGATATAGACGCTGTACAAGGGCAAATGAAGCAAACACAATTTTTAGAGACGCGAAACAACACAACTTGAGCATTTAACCTATCGGTCGCAAAGTCAGAGATGCGTTATCAGTACGCATGACCGCAGGAACTACAGCTGCGCTAGTGCGAAACAGAAAATGAAGAGGGATAACACTCTAAATAGCCAGACAGGAAGGGTCGCATATTATGCATGCATAAGAAACAGCCAAGGAAATAATAAGAGCCAGAACAGACAAGAATCAATGGCAGACCAGCAGGCACACAACAAAGTAAACAACAAAACAACAGAAGGGGAACCACATCAAAACAACGACAAGACAGCAACAAAAGGGCAAAATAACAATAGAACAAATGAACACAACAATAGAACAGCAACAAGGTAGTGCCAACATTACACAGAGGGAACAACATGAGCAGAACAACACCAACAAAATAATAACTGCAACAACGAACACAACGGGCCAACAGCAACAAGACAGCAAAGCAAGAACTATAGAAAAAACTTATCACTAGCATGAGTTACCTTCTGTTATATCTTTGGGACCGTTGGTTCTGATGAAAGATGCAGGTGGGCCATTTTGCAGACTTCGCAATTGCGCTGTTTGACTTGAAGTGCTTGAAGTATCATGGGCGCTTACTACTGCTTCTTTGGCAGCACTTGCGTCTAAAGAGGACGTTTTATCTTGTTTTTCTGTTGTTTTGCTTTCAGTTGCGCTTGTGGAAGGAGCTATAGACACACGCGAAGAGGCTGCATCAACAAATTGCAGATTACAGAATGACTGCGAGAACACTAAAGCCACACTGGCGAAGGCGGCGGCTCTGATCCTCATTTTCCTGTTGAATTTCGCAAATATGGAGCTGGCCGAAAGTTTGTATGGGTTTAAATGGAGGTTTTTCGACGAAAAACCTCGGTGAAAGAACCAGATAGAGAAATAAACCACTCGCGATCCGCGCTGGCTAGTGCGGCTGTTCGGAGGGAATTCAAGAATGTGACAAAAAGAACTGCCTCGATAAAGATTAAAGGAAGGTATTCGAATGAATTTCTGAATTAAAACCTTTAAACTCAAAAGGGCTGTCGATGCACTCACTGCTAGTGCAGATGGGTCGCCAAAACCCACAGGTGGGTGGCCTCGCCCTAGAACAGACGGTGCCAGATCTCGGGGTTCCAAGCAAAACCCGAAAATGAGACAATGCAATTATTGGTGTCTATTTTCTTTATTATTTTTGCACATTCAACATATGAAGCGACTCATAACACCCACTTCGGGTTTTCAACCACAGCTTCATACCAGGCCTCAAAGGCCGCTGTATATCGAAACCTGCATCAAGCAGCAATTAAGTTGCACTGTGCTGATCTTACACCGTTTTCTGTTTTCCAATTTCTGTATAAAACCATGAAAACTGAACACATCGGGTTAAACCTCCCCGTTTAACGCTGAAACCACTGTGTGTGCTGCGCTGCGCCTAACTGCTGCTTCGGTGCGATGCTGGGCCAGCGGGGTCCCAGTGGAACAACCCCGACAAAAACAGCAGAAATTAGGATAGAAAACCCTCAATCTAGTCATTTTAAAAACGTTTTCAAACAGAGGGGAAAATGAGAACTCCGGATAGGGGGTCGGCTATGCTCGTGCTGTAGCGCAGTCTCTCTGTCGTTCGCAGGCTCGCCTGTAGTTGACGGGTGAGCCGTTGTTCGGCCTTTGTTGGCAGCTTTCAAGCAATGACAAGTCTGGTACAATTCCGGACGGTGTCACTGTATGCAGTGCCAAATGGCTGGTTGGGCTTGTTTGTGGGCCTTGAGCTGCAGCAGGGTGGCCTGCAAGTCATGCGCGGCTGAATCCCTTCCCGCAGCTCCGGGCACTTGATTCGCTGCCCGTTTAAAACAAGGAGACTGGGAAGTGAGGGTATCTGCATTATAGAAGTATCCTATAGTAAATTTTGACTCTTTCGAAGCTTACGATGCAATCAAGCAGTCGCGCTTCAGGCAAGCAGCCGAGGTGACGAGATATTCCTCCGTTAGGGGCATTTAGAAGGCCACGAAGCAAAGCTTGCCAAGCATTGCCTCGTTGCTCTGCCTGCACCATACTCAAACAAAACACGAGCACGCAGGTTATGCGCAACCCTTCTGTACGCATCGAATCTAAACCATATAATCGGAGGAGTCCACGCTTAATCTCGTACAACGACAGATTACGCTGTACTTTGTAATGGTTGACCTGCCTTCTGTTGATAAGTTTGGCGAATGCAACATCAGCGTGAGTATTCATAGAGTAACAGGAAGGCAAATTCAACAATTGCATATTCGGAAAACCGTAGTTGCTAGACAAAGTGCCTGAGCGGTGGGGAGCTGAAAGAGCCAGTTAATAACTATCTTGGATATTCCGTTGATATACCTTCCAGTAAGGTTGCACTGCTTGAACACGCAAAGCAATTTAGGCACTCTTCTATCGTCATCATGCTGAAAACGTTCTCTAATATCTAGGGCTTGATAATGTGTTTGAAGTGCTCGCAACACAAGTGGCAGGGATATCTTCTATTTTCACATAGAATTTGTAGAGGTATTTCTTCCCTCCCTTGTACTTATTCTCTCTTTCCACAAAGCGGTGAAGTAAACGGTTAGGCACTCCAATTGCTGCGTCCCTATGGATTCCTTTTTGCCAGCTAATATGCCTACTACCTCCTACTGCGCGCCTTCGGTGCCTACTAAGAAGAACTACATATAGTGAGCATGTTCAGCAGGATGTTCTAATAATGTGGCGAGAAAAAGTCGAACATGTTATTTACATGGTAATATACTATTCACATGGTGAATGTAGCGTGCAGCATGGGAATATTCATCGCGGTTGGTGGGGCTTAGAAACACAACTGCATCATTTTTCTGTGTATGCATAAAAGAGAGGCAAACGAAATATAGCGTGGTGGGGTTGATCTTAGAGGGAACTTGAATCGACAGACAACAGAGGAGGACAGCTTAAATCCTTTTATACAGCAAGGCTCACGAAATACCTAGGCGAGAGAAAGGAAATCTGCTGCTACCTACACTTGCTTTTTATCGATACCCCTCTGCAGTGTCCTCATGAGGGAGAAAAATGATACGGGAGAAAAGGTCCTCCACGATGGGTTGCAGCTATCCACACTGTTATGCTTTCTTTGTGAACTATGCATAAAAGTGTAACAAAATCCTTTGTATTCTCATGCACTAACGCTATAGAATGTCTCTCGTTCCATAGTCCTCAGCAGCCAACCTCTCCGGAAGTAAACGACCAGGGACTCTTGGGGGGACACCACGTGGTAGGCTACAGTTAAGGACTCATACTCTCACACGTAACTCAAACCCCATCTTGACTATTTTACAGTGTAGAGAACTGTTAAATGCTAATTTTCAAAAGCTCAGTAGCCGGTAAGCAACTACGGATACCTCTCCCCATGTCAAGGCGGCTTACAAAGGCAAGGAAGCCTTGCAGTGCACAAACAACAGGAAAATGCATTTATACTTCCTTCCCTTCAGTTTATGTATTTCTCCCTCTGGTGTTTCTTATGCAACCATTATCACGGCCCTAGCAGCTGCTGTGGTGCTGTTAATGGCTCCAGTCCACAGTACTAACCGCACCCCCCACTGGTGCAGCGGGAGGAACAGTCGATATCGACTCTTCTTGTTTTATGTTCTCAATAATTCACTTAGTTCACGAATATGCACTAGATCAAAGCCTCTGTGAAAGGAGGGAAAGGGCAAAACAACAAAAACAAAACGCCAACAAGATGGACCGTCGGCTGTCTGCACACCGGACACCACGGCGGAAACGGGCAGCGAAATAACCGGGAATTATAGAGTATAAATTTGAGAATATTATATTTCACCAGGAATAAAACAATTTGCAAATTCAATTAAATAGTAAATGCCTTCATGATGATGAGTATACCCGACGAAGCTTCCCTGAACCATCATCCAACGCCACCGCGTCGACTGGGCTGAGACCGGAAGACTGCAACTGCTGATCAAGGACTCCCTTGTTTTAATGTTTTAATGAATTATAATTACTGACTTTTAATTGTGTTTAAAGGGTTAAACAAAAAAGCAATAAGGACGGAGGGGAAGGCTGCGCCGCTCCCGCGTCCGAACGGTGGACGAGGCAAAGCAGCTGCAACTGGGGCTGACCTGCAGGCTACTGATGCATTTAAGGAACAAATCGCGGAAGGTTCATGGCCCAAAGGGTATTTCCGTTTTTCTATGCTTTTTAAACTGCAGAAAAAACCTCTCTTTTAGGTGTACAGACACCTCACTCCTGCTGCCCGGCCGTCCACCGCACTCGCTGCCAGCGTCTCAGAACCATTCGCTTTTTTCTTTTCAGCTTCTGCAGCAGCGAATGAAGCTGAACGTAGATGGATGAATACTCGTCTTCTAGGTGTACCGACACCTTTTGCTCCGAAGCCATTCCTGCACAGCAGCGGCAGGAGCAGCAACAGCCTTCATGCCAGCGTCGGTTCCAACAGCCGCAGCGACAGCATCACCACCAGCAGCAGAATTGCTCCTCAGTTGGTGGATTAGAATGCAATGATGGAGAAGCAGCTGCAGCAACAAGAACGGCATCGGCAGAAGCAGCATTTGGGGGGGCGTGCAAGGATGGATCTGCAGGCTTACATACACTCCATATTCCGCGAGAGTGCAGCAGCAGCAGTAGCACTCCAGAGACGGTCGAGCTTCAAGTTCTTCAGAGCACCTGCAGTAACAGCAGCAGCAGCAAAAGCTGCAGTTTGAATAACACGCGTAACAACAGCAGCAGCAGCAGCAAGAGGGACTCATCCTTGGAGAGCACCGGTAGCAGCAGCCGCATCCCATACAGAAGCAGCAAAGACAGCACTTTCTGCAGCAGCAAACCAACAGATATTTGCCACCCCTCTTCGGAGAAAAACAATGGAGACTGCGCGGACAGACAGCAGTCGGCGCCGCTGCTGCCTCAGTCGCACCTGCCGTCGGCGCAACAGCAGCAGCAGCAGCAGCAGCAGCAGCAGGAAGATGAGCCGGTTCCACTTCAGCAATTCCAGCAGCAGCAGCAGCTTTACGATCAGCACCAAGAGCAGCGATTGCGGCAGCAACAGCAGCAGCGTCCGCGGTGGATGCTGCGGCCACCTCCGCAGCACTTGTTGCACCGTCTTGAGAGGGAGGCCTTCCGCTGCTGCTGCCGCAGCTGCTGCGTCTCTTCACCGAAGCTGCTGCAGGTGCATGCATTTAGCTTCCCTCACCCTGCGTGTAGACGCTTGCTGCAGCAGACGGGGTCTGGTGTAACAGCAGCATTAACAGCAGCAGCAGCAGCAGCAGCAGCAGCAGCAAGCCGTGGTGAAGCTACCAACGCTTGGGAAGGACCTACGGTTGGTGCTCAAGAGGGAACGAAGACACAGGGATGCCGTGCTGCCGAAGAGGCAGCAGCAGCTGCAGCAGCAGCAGGTGGTGCCGCAGCTGCTGCTGCTGCGCCGTCGGCCGTCGGACAAACCGCCACTGGTTTGCTGCTGGCAAACAGCAACAACGACAGCAGCAGGGATAGCACCAGCAGGAGCAGTAGTGTTGATTTAAGGAGAATGAGCTGCAGCTGCTGCATGGCTATCCAGCCCCCTGCTGCTGCTGTATCTGCTGCTACTGCTGCTGCTGGCGGGTCCTTTAATAGAACATCCGAAGCAGCTAGCCATGCAGACGCTGCTGCTGCCTATGGCTGTGATGCTGTAGATGCTGCAGCAGCAGCTGATGTTGCTGCAGCAAGTTCTGCTGCTAGTGCAGGAGGAGGGCTAGTAGCTGCTTCGCATGCCGATGTGCAGCAGCGCGGGGTAGGGGGGATGCGGGAGAGCAGCAGCAGCAGCAGCTGGGGCAGCTGCGACAGCATGTGCTGCAAGGGCAGCACAAGTAACGGGAACAGACGTTGCAGGTGTTGTGTGTGCATTGGGTCGACACTGAGGGCTTTTTGCAGCCGAGATAGCAGCAGCAGCAGCAGCAGCAGCAGAGGCAGCAGAGGCAGCAGCAACAGCCTCGAGCAAGGCAGCAGCAACAGCCTTGATTTCCCCCACAAGAACGCGGGTGGCATGTGTGATGAGTACAACGCCGGTGCAGCAACTGCAGGAGCAGCTGCAGCAGATGCTGCAACAGCAACTGCAGCAGGGAGTAGCACTGGTCCTTGTTGCAGTGCGACGTCTGGAGGGACATCCGTAGCTTCCGCAGCATCGGCACGAGCAGCAGCAGCAGCACCTTGTGACGAAGCCGTGTCAGGAGAACAGCAGGATGGTGGTGTAGTGTGTGTATATAAGAGGGAACGGGTTAGGATTGGCAGCAGCAGCAGCATCAGCATTCCCTGCAGCAGCACGATAGAGCGCAGCAGCAGGCGCACGATAGAGCGCAGCAACAGCACGATAGACCGCAGCAGCAGCACTACAGACTGCAGCAGCAGTACTCTAGACCGCAGCAGCAGCACAACGGACCTTATTAGCACAACGACAGAGCGGAGGAGCAGCAGTATAGACAGCAACACCGTAAACAGCAGCAGTACGAGTAGCAGCACGCTACACAACATCAGCAGCAACAACAGCAGTATGATAAACAGCCCAACAGAAGACAATATGAGCAGCAGCAGTATAAGCAGCGGCATAAGCAGCAGCATAAGCAACAGCAACAGCAGCAGCAGCAGCAGCAGCAGCAGCAATTGTTGTATATTATCAGGGCGTTGGAGTTATATATTAATAAAAAGGTTAAGTTTTATCTTAAGACATGGGGCTCCTCTTTTTTCCTTAAAAATTAGAGAAGATGGATTTGTTAGAGTTCGTGATCTTCTCTCTCTTCCTTGCATGCATGCTGTCACCTGGGCAGATCTTAAAGATGTTAGTCTTATACTGCTGCTGCTGCTGCTGCTGCTGCTGCTGCTGCTGTTCCAGTTGCTGCTGTTGTTTTCTCTCTCTTCCTTGCATGCATGCTGCCACTTGGGGCAGATCTTAAAGTTGTTAGTCATATACCTCTCCTGCTGCTGTTCCTGTTGCCGTTGTTGCTGCTTGTTGTTGCTTGTTGTTGCTGGTGTTGCTGCTGCGCTTGCTGGTGTTGCTGCTGCTGTGAATCCTGCTACTGCTCTTTTTGCTGCTGGTGGTGCTGCTGTTAGGTTGATTGTGGTAGGCTGCTGCAGTTGCTGCTTCCTATTAGATAGCCATTGTTGCTGCAGCTACTGTTAGTTATTGTATTGGTGTGCTTTTGCTGCTGCTGCTGATGCTGTCAGGCTGTGGAGGGCAACCACAAGCAACGGTATGAATTAGTCTATGACGAAACAGAGACAGAGACTTGCCCTGCTCTCATTGCGGAGCAGCAACAGCAACAGCAGCAACAGCAGCAACAGCAGCAACAAGCGCACTGCACCGATGATGTGCCGGATGGTGTCTGCTGTAGTGTTGCAGCAGAGAAGGGAAACACCTGCGGTGGCTGCTGTCGTGTTGCAGCAGAGAAGGGAAACACCTGCAGTAGCAACCGCGGCAAATGCCAGCGAAAGACGGCAGCAGCAGCAACAACAGCAACAAAAACGGCAAGTACTTCTTGCAAAAGCAGCAGCATGAATGGGGAGACGTGCCTCTGCAAGCTCGTTGGTTGCGCCGCTACAAGCGAAGAGGCTGCAGCGGCAGCAGCGGCAGCAGCAGCAAAGAGGGTGGAGCGAATGAGCGGCAAGTGGCTGCTAAGAGCCACCCAGGGGCACACCATTCCCTACATACGGAGGTGAGCGGGCAAGAAATAGTTACCGCAGCAGGGCAGCAGCAGTGCAGCAGCAGCAGTGCAGTAGAAGCAGCAGCAGCAGTAGCAGCAGCAAAGAAGCAGCAGCCGCATTGCTTATTGGATGCATAACGATCACGGGGCGATTGTCATTGTGGTTGTGTTGCTGTCTGTTGCCTTTGTTCTTGTGTGCTGCTTCTGCTGCTGTTGCTGCTGCTGCTGCAGCGAGTTATTTATGTTGCGGGTGGAGTCTGCAGCAGAACTGCCGGTTTGCGTCCATGGGACTTATCTATGGAATTGGATGTCCATTAGACATCTTGGCTTACACCGCATGCACAGAAACCATATTCGTGAGGCAGCATCAGCAGCAGCAGCAGCAGCAATAGAAGCAGCAACATTATTGGCAGGATTTACGCACAGAGACGGCATACTCCTTTGTGTAGAGAACCAGCAGGAGCAGCAGCAACAGCAACAACGTAATGTAAACAGCAGCAGGCTGGGGTTAGGGGTAGCCCTTGTGCATATTTGCGCTCGTCTGCTGCCATGAAACTAAATGGTTCTTGTTTTCTGTTTCTTCCGCTGCTCTTGCTACTGCTCTTGCTGCTGCTGCTGCATGCATGTTGCGTCTACAGATTTTGCAACGGGTTTACCAGGCGAAGCAGCAGTATTAAGCGGCATGCGAAGGAATTCAGAAGTTGCGGTGTACATACACCTGGAGAAAGCAATGAAGGAAGGAGCGATCTTCTTTAAATCAAGAAATGGTGTTGTACTAACTGAAGGACTTAATGGCAGATTACCACCGGTAGGGGTTTATACCCATTGCTGCTGCTGCTGTTGCTGCTAGTTCTGCAGACTAATGCTACCGTTGCTGCTAGCCCTGCTGTTAATGCTGCTGTTTCTGCTGCCCTTGCTGATTTATCCGTCATTTTTTGCTGTCGTTGGCAAGCTGTACTGATGCTGTACATCTTATTGCGTTGTTGCTGCTTCTGCTGCTGTTGCTGCTTCTGTTGCTGCAGTGCTTCTTCTCCAAGGTTGTGCTGCTGCGTGACGGAGTAGAATTGATGGTAGATGGCGTTGATTACACAGAAAAATATTTAAATAGAATACCCAAGGCTTTGCTGCTTCTGTCCGAGTCTGCTATATATCGGCAGCAGCTGCAGCACGACTTTGGCTTGCTGCAGCTGTCGCCTTTTGCTGCTCCCACATGCAGCCTTTTAGCTAGACAGAGCAGCACAGAACACCTGGAGGCTGCCCACGATAACAAGCAGCAGCATCAGCAGCAGCAGCAGCAGTTGTCTCAGATGCTACCCACTCGCCTTGGCAGCGGGGAAGCCATTACCCAAGCAGCGACAGCAACAGCAGCAGCCGCAGCAGCTACTGCTGCTGCCGCTGCTGCCGCCGCATCTCAAGATAATGCAGCAACAACAAAACATGTTAACACTGCCTGCTGATATGCAGGCAGATATCCCAACGAAAGGGCAGCTCAGGTGTGAGTACACCTCAGGGAGGGCTGCTGCTGCAGCACCAGCAGCAGCAGCAGCAGTAGCAGCTCCTGCGGCTACTGCTGCTAACGAAACCTTCCATACAGCAGCAGCAGCAAGACACGAGCAGTAGCTGCTTCTGCTTCTGCTGTATAAGAGGGTTTTTTTTTTGAATACAAAGCAGCATCAAAGGGGAGGAAAGTCGTGCTGTTGCTCTGCCTGCTATGCGCGATGCAACCCCAGCAAAGACCGGGGCTGCTTTTGCATGCATGCATACGTCAAGCATGTATGCATGCAACCATGCATGCGTTATTCATTGTTTGCATGCGTTATAAAAAAGCAGTCAGAGCAGCACGGCTCCAGGGATTGACGTGTATTTGTTTGTTTATTTGTTTATCCAGTTACTTGTTTGTGTGGTTGTTTATTTTGTTTGTTTGTTTCTATATGTTTCCTTTGTTGTTTGTTTCTATTTTAGTGGCAATGGGAAGAAGGGAGAAGGAGCTGCGCGGCAAATGGCTGCAGCAGACTAGCTGCACATCCATCTCACGCGCTGCAGCAGCAGCGGCAGCAGCAGCAACAGATGGGTATGTGCATCCCTTTTTTTTCCGCTATATGATTCTTCCTTCTTCTGTAGACTCTCCTCTCTTACGACATTGCTGCGGCAGCGACACGCAGTAGAACTAACAAATGAAACAGCAGCAGCAGCAGCAGCGGCAGCACAGGCGATGCAGGTAGCTGGTAGCTGATCTCAGGTAGCTGAACAGCAGCTTGTTAGACAGTCGACTTGCCAGGCAGTTATGTAGCTAGCTAGTATGCTACTTAGAAAACTAGGCGGCTGGCTAGCTAGCTATCTAGCTGGCTAGCTTCGCTCGCTAGCTCTTTCGCAAGCTAACTAGCTAGCTAGCCAGCTGACGAGAACTACAATGCCTTCAACAATTCCTACTGCTGCGAGTACAACTTGAAAAAAGCTTGAAAAGTAAAGAGCTGCAGCAGCAGCCGCAGCATGTGCTGCTGCAATGTTGCTGCCGCAGGTTGATATTTGTATGGAGTGGAGTGTCTGTACACCTGGATACTCAATCCCGCGCATGCACAGCAAGCCCTACGGGGTCTCTCCCATGGGGGTGCAGCTGTTGCTGCAGCAGCTGCTGCAGCGGGGACAGGGATTGTTGCTGCTATCTGCATGCACGAAGAAGGGAAGTAGAGGATGTGATGCATGCAAAAACTTTAATAAACTGCGCAAGGGTAAACAATTCCTTAAACAAGGAGGCAAACATACACTGCGTCCCAGCAGCAAACGCTCAAGGCTCTGTCCTTCCCCACCATCGCAGCCGCAGCACCTGGTGATGCTGCTGCTATGGCTGCTGCTGCTGCTGCTGCTGCTAGGACTGTTGCATGGCTTCTTAAAGCCCCACCAGCAAGTTGCATCGCCACCGGCAGCAGCTGTGGAGGTATTATTCTCTGACTGGAGTTCCCCATCCTGCTGCTGCTGCTGCTGCTGTTGCTGCTGCCGTTGCGAAGGGCGGTGCTGAGGGGCCTGCAGCAGCTGCAGCAGCTCAATCATTTGCTGCTCATCCATATGGTGTACATACACCTCAAGAAAGCCTTTAAGTAGATCTCTAAGTTCAACGGAAGGAAGATGAGAAGAAAGAAAAAATAGATATGCCTTTAACTCTGCACGACGAAATAAAATTTTATCTTCTTTGTTATTGAGGTGTCTGTACACCCGAGCTCGCTCAGCAGCAGTACCAAAGGTAACTGCTGCCTGCATGCATTGCTGCTGCAGCAGCTGACCGCGGTTGCACTCCTTCTGCCGCCGCCGCTGAGCAGCAGAAGCGTAACGGACCATAGGGAAACTCACATTTCTATGCTGATCCATGTTGACGTTTATTGTGCTGCTGCTGCTGCCAGCAGCAGCAGCAGGATCCCTTGCTGCAGCAGCAGCATCCGCGAGCGCCAATAGTCGCCGATGCTCGGCGAAGTGGAGCGGACCTCCTGGCTTCGCTTCATATATCCAATCATCGCCTTGTGCTGCTGCTGCTGCTGCTGCTAAGGCTGCTGCTGCTGCTGCTGCATCCAAACCAGCAGTAGCACCATCATCTATTGCAGCGCAGCGTGTACGGGGCGCACCATTAGAAACTTCTCCTTCTCTATCTTGTGTTTGTTGCAGCTCCAAGCCTATTGCTTCATGCTCCCGTTGTTGCTGCTGCTGCTCTTCTGTTTGCACATCGAAAAATGCCCTTTGACTTCCTTCTTGTGTAGACAATGTACGGCAACAAGAGAATCTGCAAGGGGCGTTAGACAGCAACAACCTCCTCAGGCCAATGCATGCATGCGTACATGCAATCCTAGGCTGATGCATTTGCAAGAAAGAGTTGCATGCGCACCTGCTGCGTCATCATAGTATAAAATAGTCTATATGTCTCTACACATTACTGCGGCTGTGAAGGACGGTGCAGGGGTTACATGTACACTCCCTACACATAGCAACGAGATACAGCATCTTTAACCTAAACTCCATTTGTACTACAATGCATTAAAAGAAGGTGGGAAAAATAGAGGAAACAGCAGCAACTCGCGCAAGATCATCCGCTGCAACGCGTCGAGACCCAACTAAAGAATTCCTTCCCCGCAGTAAGCTGATCTTCTTATTGATAGACTTTAATAGCTCTATAGCGAATATACTCAATATTTTGGAGGAAAAACCCGTAAAAATTAGTAGACATCTACAAGAAATCGAAATTGTCATGGGGCTGGACTCGCTTACTGCTACATGTACCGTATGCATGCACGCTGTACCTGACTGCCTGGTAGTGGGTGTTTTGGGGCTGGTGGACATGTATTTGTGTTCGACTACATATTTTTCTTAATATACCTTCAACGGCAACAAATACGCTGTCTGTACAGCAGCAGAGTGCTAGGATTTAAGTGCGCAATTACTGTGGGGAAGCAGGCCTCAGCGTGCGGGTGGGCACCTGAATTTTGGTGTTTCTCATGATTAAAATTTAGATTAACTCCTGCAAATACAGCAGTAATTGTTTTCCTTTTCTATTTGTGCGGATAATCGCACCGAATTCTGGGATTTAAGTCGAGGTTTCCACCTGTTCAACTTCGAAAATGTCGGAGCAATCGTTGAGCGTCGACCAGATTCCGGTAGAGGAATTGTTGAATATTCACCAAATGATATTCCAGCCGAGTACTTTGGACCTATTAATAAGTCATCTTGAGAAGGGAATCGCTCAAGGTGGTGCTTCTCCTGACTTGTGCTCCGCTGTCTTGCGCCTGTATTTGCTATACCCCCAGTGCGCTAATGCAGAAGTTGTAAGAAAAATTCTTGTCCAGAACATCGTAGCTCTACCAGAAAATCAATTCGGATATTATGCATGCATTTCTCCTTCTCATTTTCCTTCCCCAGAAGACGAGAAGCGCGTCCAGGATATCCTTACTCTGCAGGAACACATCGAATCCTGCAACTTCAAGGCAGTAAGAAGGACTCTAAACCCTAAACCCTAATCCTGTGCATCGCATGCGTGTCTATGGACGTTTATGGGCGTGACAGGGGCAACTGTATGGGCAACAGCGGCAGCAACAGTAGCAGCAACAGCAGCAGGAGGCTGGCTTGCTTCAAGTGCAGGCCACGAGTTGGCTGACTGCTACTCAGACCCTTTGCTGCTGTTGCATGTCATTTCTTTGTCTTCTGCTTTGATGGCGTTGTCTACAAACTGCCTACATGCTGCGCCTGATACAGCAGCAGCAACAGCACCAGGTGCATGTTTATCGGTGTTTATTTATGTCGTGTTGTTGTACATGTATATTGTTTATATATTTACGTATATGCATATAAACCCTATGAATTAGAGTGAATATAAAATAATATATATAATAGTATATATAATGAATATCTATATATTTATTGTGTATTGTTTGTTGTGTATAGGTATGGGCAATGCTAAGAGAACCAGATATGGCGGATGTGTTGCATACGCCTGGGGTAGTTGACGCCTTACGTCGTTATATATGCGAAGTGCTGCAGCAGACATTTTCTACAATATCTTTATCTGATTTTTGCCAGTTACTGAATTTAAGTAGCAGCAGCAGCACAAGCAGCAGCAGCAGTAGCAACACTACTAGTAGCAGCAGCAATAACACAAGCAGCAATAGCAGCAATGCTGCTGCTGCTGCAGCAGATGAAAAGGTAGAGAAACTTATTAAGACAAGAGGATGGACCATAGAGGAAGGATCGGCAGGAAATAAAGTTGTCCGTCTTAGTGCTAAAGATATTGAATCCCCTAAGGCTGTTGCTACTCGTGCATCTGTTGCACATAAGACAGTAGAAAAGTACCTCTCTCCTGAGGGACTGCAGCAGTGTCTTGCCTTGCTGCAGCCTTAAGCAGCACCACCACAACCAGTAGCAACAGCAGCAACGTAGCTGCAGGAGCAGCAGCAGCACGAGGCTATAGCCGTATTCTGCTGCAAGAGGGCTTGTTCTTGCTTCTGCTGCAGCTGCTGCAGCAGGCTGTTTGGCGAGAAGTAGAGGCCACTATCTCCGCCTCTGAAGAACTACTTTTCTTGTTGTAACAAAAAGACATAAAAAATAAAAAGTGCACAAACAATAGGTAGACAGGAAGCAAGCAGACAATGAGCAGCAGCAGCAGAAAAAGCATAGTAGTGTTTGTCCTATCAGTAGTTAAATTGTTACGGCGGTTGGCAATTGTTAAAATTAGTAAAGAATAAGCGACCGGATACTGCTGCTGCAGCAGCAGCAGCAGCTGCTGCTGCGGTTGTTGCTGCTGCACCAACTGCAACGAAAGCAGCAGAACAACAGCAGCAGCGGCACCACAACGCCACGGCCGCGCTTCACTGCTGCTCCTGCTGCGTCTATTCTCTCTGCACGACGCAGCAGCACCAGCAGTAACAACCTTACTAGCAGCAGCAGCTGTTGCTGCAACTATTGTTGCTGCAGCTGCAGCTGCAAATCAGGGCAGTCTTTTGGAAGTTGTATCTCCGTTCTGCTGTTTGTCGTCTTGCTGTTGCTGGTCTTGTTGCTGCTTCTGGTGGTTCTCCTCCTCTTGCTGCTCTTGCTGTTGCTGCTGTTGCTCCTGCTGCTCCTGAGACAGCCCCAGGGCCTCTACTGTGGTCTGCAAGCAGAGCTGCACTTCGCGTCTTAAACAGCTGCAGCACAACACCATGCAGCAGCAGCAGCAGCAGATTACACCCATCAAGCAGCTTAGGCAACAAAAAAAAAGCAACATGAGTACCAGCAGCAGTAACATCTTGAGCAGCTGCGGCTGTAGTAGCATGAGCAGCAACAGAAGCAACAGCAGCAAGGGTACGCACGCATCATCACAGGAGACGAGGGAAACAAATTTGGGCATCAGCAGCAGCAAATGCGCCTTCCCCCCTGCATCATAACATTCACAGCAGCAGCAAACCACTTCCTTGAAGCCTAGTTCGGCAGCTGTTATGAAATTCTCTACAAAACCATACAGCAGCAGCAGCAGCAAAGAACTCAAGCAGCAGCAACTGCAGCACCACCAGCAGCAGCAGCCAACATCTATCTGCAACACTAACGCCAACAGCACCATAAATCCCACCACCAGCATCAACAACAGCAGCAGCAGCAGCATGATACCTGCTAGTTGCATGAGGGTAGAGATCTTTGTTGATGAGTTTTGTGCAGAGGTAGGAGCAGCACATTGGAGTGTACGTACACTAGAGAATACTAACTCTAATAAACGAGGGTCAACACCACTATATAACTGCAGCAGCAACACAAAAAACAGAATACTGCTCCTTCTGCTGCTGCTGCTGCTCTTGATGCTACAGGTGCAGATGTAGCTGCTAATGCTGAAGCTGCTGCTTCTAGCGGCGTTGTTGCTGGTGCTACTGCTGCTGCTGCTGATGCTGCTGTTGAAGCAACAAACGAACCTCTGGCCCTCCTGGGGCGGCATCCGCGTATGCCCTAACGACACGGTCGCACTGCTGCAGCAGCAGCGGCAGAAGGAACTCTTGTCTTGCTGCTGCTGCTGCTCGTGCTGCTTCGCGTGCTGCTGCTGATGCATGCGTCCCTTCAAGATACACTTCATCTGGGTTGCGCTCTTCGCAAACCCTAAAAAACCTGTAAACAGCAGTAGCAGCAGCAACTGCAGCAGCAGCAATTAGAGAACCAGCAGGAATTGCAGCAGCACTCTGAAAAGACTGCCACTTTTGCTGCGCTGCAGCATACTGAGATGCACAGACACTGCAACTGCAGCAACAACTCACAAAGAAAATGCCTCCCTTGCGAAGGTCGATGGGGCCCTCATATCTGTGCATGCAAGCTGCAGCACCGAAGCCTGCAGCAGCAGCAACAGCAGCAGCAAAATATAGACAAATATTATCCATCCCGGCTTAGTAACACCTGCTGCAGCTGCTGCTCGGAAGTGCCGCTGCTACGTGTAAGACTGGTGCCGCTACTTCTGTTCCTGCTGCTGCTGCTGCTGCTTGGCGCATGCAGAGTGGGGAGGAGAACGTACGAGATCGGCTAAAGTATCAGTAGCCCATTGCTGCTGCTGCTGCTGCTGCAGCACTGTAGCAGCAATGCGCAGCACCCAACGCCGCAGCAAGACGACCTCCGGACTATCGCACAGTTGCTGTTGGTGCTGCTGCTGCAGTTCGTGCTGGATGTGTTGCACCTGCTGCTGCAACTGCTGTTGTTCATGCAGAAGCTGCTGCAGTGTCTGTTGATGACTGGGGCTGCATGCATACGGAGGCGGTGGTGGCTGCTGCGGGAACAGCTGCTGCTGCTGCAGATACAGCTCGTTTGCTGCACCTGGAGGCAGGTAGGAAGGAGCGCTAAAAGGCTGTGGCAAATGAGCTGCAGCACACACGCAAACCCTAAAACCCGAACCCTAAACCCTAAACCCTAAACCCCCAACCTTAAACCCTAAGTCCCAACTCCCTAAACCCTAAACCCTAAACCCTAGATGATGTGAGTTACTGCTGTTGGCTTACTTTGGACAGCTTGTTGATGCTTAAGTAAGAGTTGCTGCACCTGCTGCTGGCGTTTCTGCAGTTGCTGCAGCTGCTGTTGCAGTTGCTGCTGCTGTTGTTGCTGCTGCTGCACGAGGCCGTGATCATCTGTGGCGAGCTGCAGTAGCGCAGATGCGACGGCGCCCCACAGCTGCTCCAAAGTGTTCGGGGATACTAGTGGATGCGCTGCTGCTGCTGCTGCTGCCGTTGCTGCTGCTGCTGCTGCATCTTCACAGAGAGTGCATACAGCCTGTGCTGCCAATGCCCAAAACCCAACATCACGAAGACGGAGGTCGCAGCGAGTTGCTGCAGCAGCAACAAAGTGCTGCAGCACTAGAGGGACACACCGTAACACAGCATCTAGTGTTGTCGTCTTGCATGAATCATGCTGCTCCTGTTGCTGCTCCTGCTGCTGCTGCTGCAGATCGGCATATATTGCCTTAACGATGGCCTGTCTAAAGAACTGCAGCAGCAGCAGCAACGCCGAGCTGCCAACAGCAAGACTAAGAGAATCCCCAAATAGACGAAGAGGATCTAAGAGAACTCTGCATAGTTCATCTAGTAGGCAGAGCATTATGTCTCCAGATGCAGCAGCAGCAGCAGCAGCGGGTGCAGCAGCAACAGCAGCAGGTGCACCAGCAGGCAGCAGCTGCAGCAATCGGCTACATGTCATTAGCTGCACACTTGTGAGCCTAAAGGAGCAACAGAGAGGCAATTCATCTTTTAGACATGCTGAAGCAGCACTTGCTGCTGCTCCTGCTGCTGTTGCTGTATCGTCCGCTGCTGCTGTCTCCTTTCCATTAGCAGCAGCAGCAGCCGTTGCTGTTGTTGCTTTTGTTGCTGCTGCTGCTGCCGTTTGCTGCAGCGGCAGGAAACGCCGCAAGTCGATCCGCTCCCGCATTTCATCAAGCATTGCTGTGGTGGGTGCGGCCGCGGCAGCAGCAGCAGCGGCTGCTGCAGCTGCTGCAGCGGCAGGTGTGCTGCTGGTGCTGCTGCATGTAGTGCTCTCTGGCTCGAATGGATTTGTTGACCTGGGTTGATGCGCTGCTGCTGCTGTCTGAGGACTGCCCCCGCTAGCAGCAGCAGCGGCAGCAGCAGCAGCAGCTGCTGCTGCATGCGGCTGCAGCCGCAAACACGACGTGATGGCTTTGGCACTACTGTCGCTTTTCTTGCTTTTGCTGCTGCTGCTGTTGTTGCTGTTGCTTGCCGCCGTACCTGCTGTTGGCCAGCCGCGGTCGGAGGGCAACTGCAACAGCAGCTGTTGCTGTTGCTGTTGCTGCTGAGGACACTCTGCTAGCAGCCGTCCGTCTGCTGCAGCAACAAACTGCTGCACGCTGCTGCTTACCACCTCCCAAGAATACCAAGGGCCTTGCTGCGCGTCAGCGGCTGCTGCTGGAAGATTCACTTGCTGCTGCAACAGCAGCTGCCGTTGTTGCTGCAGCCGCTGCTGCTGCACGGACGTCCGTGAGTTACTCCCAGCTGCGGCAGCAAACAACTCAAGCAAACGCAATCTGCCCATATGTCAATACAGCAGCAACAGCAGCAGCAAACGCAACAACGGAAACAACTGCAGCCGCAACAAAGACAACAGGAACTGCCAGGAGGACAGCCGAAGCAGCCCAAGCAGCACGGGTTAGAAAGCCAGCTGCAGCATCAGCCAAGCGCCCACCAACAGCGGCTGCAAAAGGACCGGCAGCAGCAGCAGCAGCAGCAGCAGCAGCAGCAAAGCTTACCAGCCGCTGCAGGGGGCAATGAAAGAGGAGTTGCATGACGATAGAAGAGAGGAGGTGCAGTTAACAGCCCCAACGCCAGCTGTATAGACACTGCATGCTCAACTAATCCTGTTGATGTTTCTGCTGTTGCTGCTGCTGTTGTTGCTGCTGCTGTTGCTGCTGCTGCTGTCGCTGGTGGTGGTGGTGGTGGTGGGGGTGGGGGTAGTCGCGCTGCTGCTGCTGCTGCTGCTGCCGCTGCTGTTGCCCGTTGAGCAGCAGCAAACTCTAGAAGATCAACTAAAGAAGACATCACTGCTTCTGCTTCTTGTGCCCCCAAAGAGCTGCGCAGCTGCAGCTGCTGCTGCTGCTTCTCCTGTTCTTGCTGCTGCTCTCCATTGATTGTTTGCTGCAGCGCATGCAGCGGCGGAAGCAAATTCCTTGCCAGCTGCCAATACACCGCCCAACCCATTGCCCACAATGTTGTCGTCTGCTGCACCTCGCTGCTGCTGCTGCTGCTGCTGCTGGATGTGGGGTCTACAGCAGCAGCAAACTGCGCACGGCGATACAGCTGCTGCAACATTTCCACCGGAACCTGTAGTAGCAGCAACAGCAACAGCAGCAACAGCAACAGCAGCAACATTGATGCCTGCTGAAGCAACCACGAGCGCACGTAGGCTGAAGGCACCTGGTGCAGCAGCAGCAGCATCGATAAGCAACAGCACACACGACAGCAGCAGCATGCATGCGAACAGTTCAAGGATCTCAACAGACGCTGACAGCAGCAACAGCAACAGCAATAACAACAGCAGCAGCAGCGCGACTGACAGGTACTGCAGCAACCGAGAGAGTAAGGACATCCCCAATGGCGACATTTGCTGCCAGCAGCAGCTCTTGAGGAAGGACTTTTTGTGCTGCTGTTGCCGCCTGTAGTGTAAGCAGCAGCGCAGCAGCAGATTCAAGTACAAGTTCTTCCCCTTCCGAATCCTCTCTACCTTCTGTTGCAGCCTGCTGCTGCTGTTGCTGTTGTTGCTGCTGTTGCTTCTGTTGCAGAGCAGATGCGTAGTGCAGCAGCAGCACACGCACGCCGTCAACAGCAATAACGAGTGTCTCAGCCCATTGCTTTGCCTCGCTCTCCATGCTGTTGTTGCTGCTGCTGTTGTTGCTGCTGCTGTTGCTGTTACAGGTGCTGCTGCTGCCGTTGCTGCTGCTGCTGCTATTGCTGCTGCTCTGTTCATCCTTCAGGGCGGTCAACCTCACGTATGCGCTGCAGACGTCCAGCAAAGTTGTCGTCAGTATGCGAGACACACACCTACAGCAACAGCAGCAGCAACAGCAAGAAGAGGATGAGCAGAAGCAAGAGCATGAAGATCAGCATGAAGAACAGCAACAACAGCAGACACATGATCATCATCGCCAGCAGGACAAACATGACACCACCACCACCGCCACCTCCATCAACATCAGCAGCATCAGCAGCAGCAGCAGCAACAGCAGTAGAAGCAGCAGCAGCAGCATACCTAACAGAGTATTGTTTATAATAATTATAATTATAATTTAATACAAGGGGAAAAGATCTTAATGCAGCAATTAAACTTTTTAGTGCACAATGACGAAGAGAAGATCTGCTGTCTGCTGCTAATACACCTAAATGCATATATGTTGCTGCTGTTAAGCTCTCCTCTAAATCAATCTCCTCATGCTGCTGCTGTTGCTGCTGCTGCTGCTGTTCGTGCTGCTGTTCATGCTGCTGTTGCTGCTGCTGGGCGCTGAGCGGCTGCTGCTGCTGAGGCGCCCAAAGAGGCTCGAAAAAACGTAAAGAGGAAGCAAACGGCACAAGCAACAGACGTGTCTCCGTTGCTCCTGCTGCAGTTGCTGCTGTTGCTGCTGCTGCTTGTGGTGTTGCTGCTGCTGCTGCCGTTGGTGATAACGCCATGAGACTGCCTTTGTCATCTTCCAGTGCTCCTGTTGCTGCTGTTGCTGCTGTTGCAGCAGCAGCAGCAGCTCGTTTGCGTCTCTTTTTTCCTAAGAAATCTGCAAGAGACCAAAGAAGACCAATGCATCGATAAGAGAAGCAAGAAGCAAATCCACCAGATATATCTGCTGAACCTGCTGCTGCTGCTGCTGCAGCTGCTGCAGCTGCCTCGCTACTGCTGCTGCTCCCTTCCTCAGATATCGCCAACGCTGCCACTGCTGCTGCCAGCACGTGCGTCAGTGGCTGCAGCAAACATAGCAGCACAGACCTCACAGCATCCATACAAGCAGCAAAACAAGCAACAAAACAGCAGTAGCAGCAGCAGCAGCAGCAGAAGACCCCCTGGCATGCAAAATACCAGAAGTAGCAGCAGCACATCCATCAAGGACCACAAGCAGCATTGGTTGCTGCAGCAGTAGCACTGTCTTTACATAGCAGCAACAGCAGCAACACCAACAGCAGCAGTAGCAGCAGCAGCAAGACGGGCGTACATGCACAGGAATATCCTCTCCATAGTCATGAACGATTAACTCCATTAGCGCTAAGACCTCCCTACGGTCAGCTATGCAACCAGGAGAATGAACCCGCTGCTGCTGCTGCTGTTTGCTGGTGCTGCTGCAGCAGATGCTGCTGGTATCCCAGCTGCTGTTGCGTGCCTCAGCAACAGCCGATACGACGGCACGGAGTTCATGGGGTACCTGCTGTGCTGCTGCTGCAGCAACAGCAGCAAGAATCAGTAGCCAAGCACGGGGCCGCAGCAGCTGCCCTCGTGTCTGCAGCAGCTGCTGCAGAGACCGCAGCGCAGCAAAACGTGACACTCCATTTGCTGCTGCTAGCAACCTGCATAGACACTGCAGCGCTAGACACTGAAGCTCCGCCTCTGCTGTTGCTGCTGCTGCTTCTGCTGCTGCGGTCTCCTCGGGGCAGGCAGCAGCAGCAGCTGCTGCTGCTGCAGCGCAGCAAGAGTTTATTTCCGGCAGCAGCAGCTGCAAGAACAAAGACAAACACCTCACTGCTTCTACTCTTGCTGCTGCACTTAGCTGCGGTGTATCTGCAAGAGCAGCAAAAGCCAATATATCCCTCTGCTCTTCCTCCTCACCAGCTGCAGCAGCTGCTGCTGTTGCTGCTGCTGAGGAGGCACGGGGTACAGAGTTTTGTATAAGAAGCGGCAGGCGGTCGACGTTGTACAGCAGCAGCAGCAACAGTCGTCGCCAGCAGGGAGGCAGCAGCAGCGCCTCGCTGCTGCAGCTGCTGCTACTGCTGCTGCTGCTCAGTCTTTCAGTTCGAGGGCCAATAAAAGGCTCCAGCGAGTTGCTGCTGCACCCTTGCCACGGTGCTGCAGAATTGCTGCCTGATGTTGTTGTTGCTGCTGCCGTTGCTGCTGCTGCTGTGGCTGAGATAGCTGCTGCACATCCCGATATCTGACAAGGCCCTCCTGTGCTGCAGCAACAGCGTGCTGCAGTGTCTTGGTGGTCCAGCTGATGCTGCGTGGGGCGTCCGCTTGCGGGGGAATCCGCGGCAGCAGCAGCAGCAGCTGCTGCTGCTGCTGCTGCTGCAGGCCCCACAGCCGTAGTGGCGGAAGAAGCCTTCAGCAACAACAGCAGCAAATACTGTGCATGCGCATGCAGTGCAGCCTTTAGGCCTTGATATGTCAGCTGTCTAGACAGCAGCCCAAATGCAGCTAATTCTCCTTTTCCTGCTGCTGCAGCTGCAGCTGCTGTTGCTGCTGCAGCAGCAGCAGACGCTGATGCAGACGACGCCGGAGACGGTGGTTGCAGTGGTTGCACGGTGCTGCTGCTGCTGCTGCTGTTATCAGAAGCAGAAGGGCCTCGTAAAGCTATGGGGCAAGCAGAAGATGCAACAGACACGGCAGCAGCAGCAGCAGCTTCTGCTGCTGCTTCTGCTGCATGCGCACTTAACCCTAAGTCCCTCCAGTATGCTGCTGCTGCTACCACAGCCTCTGACTGTCCTTCATTCGCTGCTGCAGCTACTACCGTTGTATCATCATCATCATCATCTGCTGCTGCTGCTGTTGCTGCTGCTGTTGTTGCTGACGCTGGCTCCATCAATAAAGCAGGCATACCATAATCGGGAGGAAAATCGAGCTCCACCACCTGCTGGTGCTGCTGCTGCTGCTGTTGCTGCTGCTGTTGCTGCTGGTCAAGAGGCGGCAGCTCTTCTAGTGCCCGCAGACAGAGCAGCCAACAAGAAGGGGAGAGGATGCTGCCTAGGTTAGATATAGCAGCAAACAGGAAGGAGCGAGCAGCAGCAGCAAGCTGGGAGACCTGCTGCTGCGGCAGCTTGCTGCTGTTGCTGCTGCTGCTGTTGTTGCTGCTGCTTGTGCTCTTGGTGTCACGTCTCCCAAACAACCAGGTAAAGGCCTCCGAGCTTGTTAGACCGAGAGAAGCAGCGGCACCCCCTGCAGCAGCAACAACGGCAGCAGCTGCTGACGAGCTGCTGCTGGTGCTGCTGCTGCTGCTGGTGCTGCTGCTGCTGTTGCTGCGGTGCAGGTGGCTAGTGGAGTCTTGCGCTGCTGCAGCAGGAGCAGCAGCACTGCCCATTGCTGCATACAAACAGAAGCGCATTACTGCCTGCAGCGTTGCAGTTGCTGCAGCAGCAACGCGCAGCAAGCAGCAGACGAGCAGAAGCTGGTAGCAGCAGCAGAGCAGCACATTCGTTGTTGCTGCCGCTGCTGCTGCCTGCCCAGGCCAAGTCAAGCCCAACTCCTTCTTGCTGCTGCTGGTGGTGCTGCTGCTAGTTGCTGCTGTCTGCAGAGTAAGAGAGACATGGGCTGTCAGTACTAGACCTAAGGCCGACACCACCGGACTCCACCCTGCAGCAGCAGCAGCAAAGCAGCAAGCTTGCTGCTGTGTCAGCGGTAAATCAAGTGGCTGCCGCAGCAGCATTTGCAGCCTCCTCCGCTGGTGCTCAGGGTCTGCTGCTGCTGTAGCTGCAACAGCAGCTGCTGCTGCAGCGGGCGGTGCAGCAGCAGCAGCCTCCAATGTCGCAGCAAGCAGCGCCTCTACTGAGAGCAGCAAGCCAGACAGCGACAGGTGCAGCAAACGCGCCCTTGAGACAACAGCAGCAGCAGCTGCTGCTGCTGCAGCTTCCTCCTCTGGACATCCAAGAGCAGCGCAGCACTCGAGCAGCCGCGGTGCTGTATCCCATACTTCATACCCAGCAGCACCAGCAGCAGCACCAGCACCAGCAGACTCTGCTGATGAGGCCTTGCTGCGGAAGCTGCTGCTGCTGCTGCTGCTACTGCTGCTGCTGCTGGTGCTGTTCCCCGCCTGCTGCTGCAGCTCACGAGAACCAAATCCTATGGAACTCACTGATCCGTGTCTTGCTGTGCCAGAAGATTGTATACTACCAGCAGCAACTGCAGCAGCAGCAGCTGCTGCTGCTGCTGCTGCTCCACTAGCGGGCCCGCTAGTGCTCCTACGTGGGCTGCTAGTACGACTGCTGGTGGTGCTGCTGCATCTGCTGCTGCACTGCAGCAAAGCAGCATCGCGCGAAAGCATTCCTAGCCGCACCTTGCTGCTGCTGCTGCTGCTGCTGTTGTTGCTGTTGCTGATATTACTACTGCTGTTGATGCTGCTGCTGCTGCTACTGCTGCTACTGCTACTGCTGTTGCGGGGCGGCAGCGCAACCCAGTAGCCAGATGCCTCCCTCCTGGCAGCAGCAGCAGCAACACGCATGGCTCCTACAGCTGTGCGTACACCTGAGCTCCGGTGCTGCGCTGCAGTAGCAGCAGCAGCAGGGTTCTCAGAGAGCTGAAAGGCATCTCTGTGCAGCAGCAGCAGTTGCTGCTGCTGCTCTGCAGCAGAAGCAAAGCATATCTGATGGATGGTGCGGCTGAATGTCTCGAGGATCTGCCCCAAGAGGCGACGAGGAGGAGGTCGTGTTGTTGTTGTTGCTGCTGCTGCAGTTGCTGCAGCTGTTTCTCCTCCTTCCCCACTTGTACTAGCAGCACCCTGAGCTGCTGCTGCAGCAGGGGGCTCCGGGGCGTCTAGCTGCAGCAGCAGCACAGGGTCGCTGCAGCAAACAGTCAGAGCTTCAAGAGCAGCAGCTCTCACCCAATCTGCTGCTGCATCTGCCAGGCGCTGCAGCAGCAGCAGCAGCGGAGTTGCCTGCTGCTGCAGCAGTGGGAGGTACATATACACAAGCAGCACAACAAGCCTTACCGCACGCAGCAGCACGGGCTTCTCCGGGTGCTGCTGCAGCAGGAGCTGCTGCAGCACGGGGCACAGCTGCTGCTGCAGCAACTGCAGCAAACCTGGCAGCAGCAGAGGCAGCGACGGGTACTGCAGCAGCAGCGAAGTCCATAGATGGAGGCAAACAGAAGCAGAGAGAGACAAACCACCAAGCCATGCTGCAGCAGGAGCCATTTTGCCGGTGCTGCTACTGTTGCTGCTGCTGCTGTTGCTGCTGCTGTTGCAGGACTGCAGCAACACGTGCGTCAAATCCCCAAGCAGATCCAACAGAGCCCTTCCGGCCCGACCTGGCTCCCTCTGCTGCAGTAGAATATGCTGCTGCTGCTGCTGCTGCTGCCGCTGCCGCTGCTGCTGCTGCTGCTCTTGTAGTGCCCCACCAACAAGACAGCCTATGAGCTGCTCAAGCCCTGCACAAGCGCCATGGAAGAGGGACGCGTTGGTTGCAGCAGCAGCAGCAGCAGCAGCTTTGGAGTGTGTGGCAGCTGCAGCAGCAGCAGCAGGAACAGCAGCAGATGCAGAAGGAGCTGCTGCTGCTCCTATGAACCATACAAAGAGACGCGCGAGTCTATGAACAACTGCAGCATCAGCAGCAACTCTTGCTTCTGGTGCAGCAACAAGAAGCGCAACCTGCAGCACACGGATCTGTAGCTGCTGCTGCTGCTGCGGTTGCTGCTGCAGTGCCTGCTGCATAAGATCCTCCAGCACCGACACCAGCAACAAGACATCCGATGCTGCTGCTTCTGTTGCAGCAGCAGCAGCAGCAGCAGCGGTATCCATTCCCAGTCCTTGTTTCTGCTTCAGCCCATCCCGCTGCACCGTCTCCAGCTGCTTCTCTGCCTGCTGCTCTTGCTGTTGCTGCTGCAGTAGCGGGGCCTGGGGTGTCATGAGCAGCCGCCGCTGCAGGTGCAGCAGCAGGCACCGCAGCAAGTTTGCTGCTCCAAGCAGCAGCTTTATGTTTTCTGTCTTTGTTGCATCGCGAGCAGCAAGAAGAATATCTCTAACGGGGAACGCAGCAAGAAGACTTGCTGCTGCTTCTGCTGCTGCTGCTGCTGTTGCTGCACCTGATGCTGTTGCTGCTGCACCGTGCTGCGATGCTGCTGCAGCAGACCGCTGAACTGCAGCAGCCAATACAGGCAAACCCTCGCTTAGTCTGTCCATGTGCTGCTGCAGCAAAGCAGACGCAGCAGCACAGGACTCTTGCAACCTGCTGCAGCTGCTGCTGCTGCTGCTGCCTGTCCTCTTCTTGCTGTCCTGCAGCAGCGCCTGCAGCTCCCTATCTACAGCTCTGCATGCTTCAAGTGCTGCTTCACGCTGCTCACGCCAAGGAATTCGAGCTGCTTCTGCTGCTTCCGTTGCTGCTACTGTTGCTGCTGCTGCTGTTGGTCCTTCTGATGCGACTGGTGCGGCTCCTGCTGCTGCTGCTGTGGCTGCCGCTGGAGGAGGTGGCGGGGGGTCTGGACCTGCTGGTCCTGCACAGAATTCGGAGGAAGTTGGACCATTCGCTGCTCCTACTGCTTCTGTAGTTGCTGCTACCGCTGCAGCAGCAGATGTTGCTGCTGTTGCTGCTCTCGATGCTGCATCATCTGCCGCTGCAGGCGTGTCGGCAGCGCCATCTGCTGCTGCTGTCATTCTCGCCTACTGCTCATGTTGTTGCTGTTGTTGCTGCTGCTGTTGTTGCTGCGGCTGCTTATTCTCTAGCTGCCGTCACTGCTGCTGCTGCTGTTGTTGTTGATCTTGCTGCTGCTGCTCGGACCCCCCAAGATCTTGCTGCGGGCTCTGAAGCGCCCATCTGTCTCTATAGCGGCTGTCTTCAGGCCCATACTGCACTACAATATGCTTCTGCTGCTGCTGTTGTTGCTACTGCTGTTGCTGCTGCTGTTGCTGTTGTTGTTGTTGCTGCTGCTGCCTAGCTTGCTGCAGCGGATTCCGCAGCGATGCAGCAGAAGTAAGACAGTCTGCTGCAGCAGCAGCTCTCTGCTGCAGTATTTAAATGGACTTGATAAATATATCTCACTTTGTTGCTGCTGCTGCGAGAACTACTACAGGATGCCTTCTGCTGCTGCCTGCTGCTGCTGCTGCTACAGCCCCAGTCGCCGCTCCGCTGCAACCGCAGTAGCAGCAGGAGGCAGCAGCAGCAGCAGCAACTGCTTATGGGCTCGCTGCTCGATAGCTGAGGGGAAATTTATGTAACGACTGGAGGCCAAAGGAGGCAGACGACTCCCAATGACCCCAGACACTGCAGCAACCACAGCAGTAGCAACCGCAGCAGCAGCGGGACTGCTGGAGCAGGTGGAGTCTACTGCAACAACAGCAGCAGCAGTACCGTTCGGTGACTGCTCTTTAGAGGATTTTTTTGTTGTACTTTTACTGCCTTAAGGGGCACAGTGTCTGTTGCTGCAGCAGCAGCAGCAGCAGCCGAAGGGATAGTAGCGGCTCCAGCCAGCCGTGTCAGCAGCGCAAAAGCAGCAGCAAAAGGCAGCAGCAGCAAGAGCAGCAGCAAGAGCAGCAGACATCCCGCAGATGTTTTCTTCTTGCCCGATAGGAAGCCTTGAGCCCGTAGGGGACCTGCATCTGGAACCTCAGCGTTCTTTGCAGCAGCAGCAGCAGCAGGAGCTACAACAGCAACGATTACAGCAGCAGCAGCAGCAGCAGAAATATAGGGGTCGATTAGTTTGTATAGAGTGTGGGGCCCCAGTAGAGTGTATATACAGGGCGTTCCCTCCTGGCTCGGATAATATCCGTCTAGTTTGCTGCAGCAACTGCAGCAAACTAGCAGATCCTTATGTGCAGCATGACTCCCTGCTGCTAGCATTAGATCTGCTGCTGCATAAACCTCAGGTGTATAGGCACCTCCTATACAATAGGAAACCCCACACAAGGGGGTCCGTTCCCCCTAGCATAATTAAGTTTACTGTTGCATGCGTTTTCTTTGATGCTTATCTAGAGTGGTTCCTGCTGCACTCCCCCCAGCATAGACACCAGCAGCAGCAGCCGCAGCAGCAACCGCAGCAGCCGCAGCAGCAACCGCCGCAGCAGCAGCAACCACAGCAGCAGCAGCAGTACAGTCAACCGGAGGAAACAGATCCAGACTGCTTCAGCGACACCAGCAACAGCAGATCTGCAGATGGTGTGCAGCAGCAACGGGATGGTGCATCTGCTGCTGCTGTTGCTGCAGAGCTGCAGCAGCAGCAGCAGCGGCAGCCGCAGAAGCGGAGTAACTGCAGCAGAAGACGGAGTCTCTTCCGGCGGCCGTCAGTGTTAGCGCTGCTTGCATGCGGTTTTGCTGCTGTCTTCTCTCCTCATAGAAAATACTGCAACAGCAGCAGCAGCAGCAGCAACAGCAGCAGCAGCAGCCGTCTTATGCATGGCTGTCACCTTGCAGCAGATAGCAGCCCGCTGCTGCTGTCGGAGCACCTCCCCAATATAGAAGCAGCAGCAGCAGCAGATCCTGCAGCAGCTGCAGCACCAGCAGCAGCACGTGAATGTGGTGCGTCTAGCTGCTCGTATAGTGAGGAGAGTTCTTCTATAAACAGCAGCAGCAGCAGCAGCAGCAGCAACAGCAGGTCCTGCAGCAGGAGCAGATCCTGCAGCAGCAGCAACAACAGAAGCAGCAACGGGAAGAAGTGCAAAAGGTCTTCTTCCTCAAAGCGTGGTCCATCCACCCTTCAGCAGCAGCAACAGCAGCAGCAGCAGCAGCAGCGGCAGCAAGAGTTCCATTCAGTGCAGCACATGCGTACATCGTCTGCTGCAGCAATAGAGCAGCAGCTGCTCGTGCTGCTGTCTTCTGCTGCTGAGCTATTTGCCTTCTTAGCTACTGCTGTCCTTCTTACTTGGTTATATTTTATATGGAGAAAGAAGACAATGCCCTCTGCTGCTGCTGCTCCCGCTGCTCCCGCTGCTGCTGAGTCTCCTGCTGCTGCTGCTCCCCCTCCTCCTGCTGCTGCTCCTCCTGCCGATGCTGATGCTGCTTCTGGCGCTGGTGGAAACACCGCAGCAACAGCAGCAACAGCAGCAAGGGCAGCAACAGCAGCACCAACAACAGAACTAACATCAGCAGGACAAGCAGAAACAGCAGAAACAGCAGCAGCACAGCAGTCACCAGCAGCAGCAGCAGCACAACCAGCATCAGCATCAGCAGCAGCAGCAGCAGGAGAGGAATTCGAGCTAGGTGTACTACTAACAGCATTAGGTCTATCTTTATATAGTAAGGTAGGGGCATTATTAATCATGGGATGGAGGGAGGCGCTGCTGCTGCGTCATTGTGTTGCTGTCTTAGGGTTTAGCAGCAATATAGTAGCAATAAATGTATTCTTACATCCTCATCATCCTGCTGCTGGTATATTTATTGCTGCTGCTGCTGCTGCTGCACGTGCTGCTGTTCGCGCCGCTTTCTGGGTCGTATTACAAGGTGCTATACCGGCTGCTGCTGCTGCTGCTGCAGCAGCAGCAGCAGCAGGAGAAACACAACTAGATAAGATACTTAGGCTTCTTATCTAAACATTTATTTTTGTTTATTCTTTGGCGTTCTTATTGACATGATGCAGCAGCAGCAACTGCAGCAACTGCAGCAAATGCAGCAAATGCAGCAAATGCAGCTATTGTAGCTATAGTAGGAACTGCAGCAAGTGCAGCAACTGCAGCAACTGCAGCAACAGCAGCAGCAACACGACAGCAAAGAGGAGAAATAGCGAATGCACAAGATAAGGGAATAAGAACACAACAAACAAAAGAAAATACAAATAAATAGATAAATAAATAAAATACATTTATAATTAATAAACAAAGTAAATAAATAAATAAATAAAATAAAATAAATAAATAAATAAATAAATAAATAAATAAATAAATAAAATAAATAAATAAATAAATAAAATTGTAAACATAAAGAGAGAAAAAGAGAAAGAGACGAAGAGAGACGAGGAGAAAAGAAGAGAGAAATAGATAAATTATATTTATTGTCCTTTTTTTTTAGTTAATTTATTAATTGTTTAATTAATTTAATTAATTAATTTAATTAATTTAATTTAATTAATTATATTAATTAAATTAACTAAATAATTTATTTAATTTATTTAATTTATTAATGAATAATAATATAAACAGAAACAAACAATAAAGAACAGCAGCAACATAATACTTAATGCACGTACTGCTGCCGCAACAATAGCAGCAGCTACTGCTGCAGCAACAACAGCAGCAGCTACTGCAGTAGTAGCAGCAGCAGCAGCAGCACGGCCTGACAGGTTATAATATAGCCACAGATTAGCCCCCTCTAAACCCTAAACCCTAAACCCTCGTTTGCGTCTCTATTAGAGAGAGCAACACTAATATCATCTGTTGTTGCTGTTGCTGCTGCAGCCCTGCATGGCT